GATAAGTTAAAATATGACACCATTACAAAGGAATGAATTCTATTCACATTTCAAACATTTTCCTGAATAAAGAAAAGGTTGCTGACATTACCGGGTTTAATAAGCAAGACACTCTGAGAGATGAGATTGAGTATAGGTATTAAGTGAGGTGAGCATAAAACCTAGAATCACTGATGTTCTGTCTTTAAATAACTCTTTATCCCCCAACACACCATAGATTTTTGCAGAGCAAATTATTAAATGGGCAAATTAAATGCAATTGGAAGGATAAGGCAATAATGACTAATATAATATCTAATAATAATAGGTAACATCAATGGAGACTCTACTAGATAATAAACATCTTAAAGCATTTAAAACTCACAACATCCCTATGACTTAGTACTATTTGTATCCCCATTTTACAGAGAAAGAAAATGAAGCCCAGAGAAGTTAATTAATCTACTCAAGGTAGTGTAGCCAGTAGAATGAGGATTCCAGCCCAGAAAGTCTGACTTCAGAGCATATAAACCAGGATCCATGTTCCCTCCATTATAAAAGGCAACAGGATATGAAAAAAATGCAAGATTTTTTTTGGTAGGGGGCAGTAACTGGGAGGAGGAGTGGAGAGGAGAGATGATGTTAGAAAATGAGTTGAGAATCGTTCTGTGTGTAAAAGAGGTGTCTATGATGATAATCATGGGATGAAGGTTAAAAAAAAGAGATTGCAAATCACATTAGGAGAACCAGGAAAGTAATTGGTACCTGGGGTGAACATCAAAGAGTGAAAGAGTAATTGTGATCTGAATAGCTGGAAATACAGCCAGATCCAAATATAAGGCTTTGCATGAGAATAGGCATTCAGGAAAAAGCAAATAAACTCTGTTTGGCTGCAGCTTATATTCAGAGTAGTGGTGGGAGTTAAGTTGGGAGAGGAAAGTTGGGACCATATGGTGGCTAGCTTTGAACACCCAGGCAAAAAATTTATATTTAGTTCAAAAAGCAATGAAGAGTCATTGAGAGTGTTTTGAACAGGTGTCGGGCATTGAGGAATATGATCAGCAAGCTAGCTGACACAAAAGAACACAAATTTTGTGCTTCCATATAAATTAAGTTCAAGCCCCAAACTAATATTAAATCATTAAAATCAGAAAATGCTTTTCAGGTAAAGAGGGAAACTGGGTCCTCCCAACAGCACTAAGGAACTTTCTGAAGTAACAGATATTCTGTATTTTACTTTGAGTGGTGCTGCTAGGAGTGCATACAATTATTAAAACCAATAGAATCAAATACCTTTGCATTTTATTGTATGTTATTATATCAAGAAAGAAAGGAAGGAAGAAGGGAAGAGAAGAAGGGAGGGAGGGAAGAAGGAGAGAAACAAGAAAGGATGGAACGTCAGTCACCTACAGAATGGACCTGGATACAGAGGAAGGGGGGCCAGGGAGACGAGTTAATGAGACTATTACAGAAACCCAAAAGAATATCTGAAGAGAGAAAACTGTGGATGTAAACAGAAGCAAGAAGACTGATCATATGTAAATGAATGTGTACAAACATTAATATAAGTCAATATAAATAAAAGGATACATACATGAATTATAATTTCATTCATCTTGCCCCTTTGAATGTAAACTGTCAGATGGGAGGGACCAAACTTAGTAAGTCTTTCCAGTTAAAACAATTCTTTCCTATTTGTATATTTAATGCTGCCATTTCTATTGTTGCTTGTACTCTATTTTACATCAAATACGCACACAGTGTGTTGATAATGCTACTGAGTACAGTATTCCTTGTATTAAAGACTTTAAAAGATTGCTTATCATGTGTCATAAGAGGCTTGCCACTTTACCCACCTATTTTACTTAAGCATAACAACAATCCCATGAGGTTAACTACTATCCCCATTCTCTAGATGAACAAACTGAAGCTAGGAGATAAGATGCCTAAGGCAACATAGTAAAACTAGGTTCCCTTGTCTTCCTAATTCAAAGCCCAGATTCTTAAGCATTGTGCTGTATATTTATATTGAAAATAACTAACAAAGTAGAACTGCCTGGGACTAACTCAGACAAAGGATGAGAAAGTAAGCACAGATGAACTCATAATCCATTATGTGTATTCATCTCCCCAGCTTTCAAAAGACTATACTAGTTAACTAGGAACTATTAGAGGACCACTGTTTTACAAGCTGCCTAAAGCAAGAATATGTGGATTTGATGTCACTTGCTTTAGGCATTAGATGAATATGTTTATAAATTCATATTTATGATACATATACATAATATGTTATTTCAGGTCAATTCAATCTCTATCAAATCTAGCTTCATGAAGTTTGAGGACTTTAAAAATTATTGCAAGTAATGTTAAATAATTAGAAAAAATTCTTAAAATATTCAAGTTCAATTTAATTTTTAACGGTGACAAATGTCATCCTGAATCTATTTTTAGAGAGGTTTTGTTTCAAATCTCTTGAAATCATGAGAATCCATAGATTTATCAGATCCTCAAAAAGGTAAAATAATCAAATGGGATTACAGAACCAGTTTAATAAGGAGGACCCCATTTCCAAATATAAAAACTCATAAATTCAGATCTTTCTAATTAAAGAAATATTTAGGCAAGAACTGAAGTATATATAAATATAATAAAGTGATTTCCTAAGACATAAGAAACAAGAAGTAATTCATCTTGCTGAGAGAATGTTTTAAAGGCCATAAAAGTAGAATTTACATGAACATAATTTTAAGTGTTCTAGGTAAACCATTCTTATCTATTTGTTCAAACACATCCTCCAAAGACTTCTTCATGGCAGCATGTGTTTAGTGAAATCTCATTTTCCAGGTTATTTAAGACTTTTACAAGTGCAAATAATTTCTCCAAATTCAAATTAGTGAAGTTTTACTAATGCCACCACTTTTACATTTTACTGTATCTTCCCTAGGAATACATATTCAGTGGGTGACATAAATTACTCCACTCTAAATAAGCATTCTTTTATCTACCAAAATCATAGCTTTCCACCATAGCTATGTTTTAATTTCATAACCAGATTCACCATTTCTGGGAGAAATTAAAGACCTAAATAAAAGGACAAATATACCACAGTCATGAATTGGAAGATTCAATATTGTTAAAATATCAACTCTCCTCAAATTGCTCTATAAATATAGTCGCAATCAAAATTCCAGCAGGTCTTTTGGCAGATATTGACAAACAAATTTTAAAATTTATAGTCATATGAAAGGATCAAGAATAGCAAAAGAATTTGAAAAAGAACAGATTTGAGGGCTTACACTATCTCGTTTCAAAAATGATCATAAAGCTATAAAGCAATCAAGATTACGGCACTGGCCTAAGGATAAACACACCCATCTCTGGGATAAAACAGAAAGACCAGAAAAATTTGGTAAATTAATTTTTGATAAAGTTTCCAACTCAATGGGGGACATGAGAGTCTTTTCAAGAAATGGTGCTAGAACAACTGAATATTCATTTGCTAAAAAAAATGAACATCTACCATTACCTCACATAATACACAAAAATTTATTCAAGATAGATAGAAGTAAAACATTTGGAAGAAAATACAGGGTAAAAATCTTCAAGGCCTTAAGGTAGGCAAAATTATTTTAGACATACCACAAGAAATTAATAAACAGGACTTCATCAAAATTAAAAACTTAACATCAAGATAATAAAAAGGAAAGCTACAGACTATAAGAAAATACTGTCAATACATATACCTGACAAAGAATTCACACCAATATATATAGAACCCTCAAAACTCAATAATAAGACAACTTAATTTTTTAAAAAGGCAAAGGATTTGAACAGACATTTTATTAAAGAAGATATGCAAATGGCCAATAAGCACATGAAAAAAAATGTACATCTTTAAAAATGAGAGAAATGCAAATTAAAATTACAGCCTACTACTACACATCCACTAAATTAGTGAAAATTAAAAAGACTGATAGTACCAAGTGTTGGCAAGGATGTGAAGTAAGTAAGTTCCCATCCACTGCTAGTGGGACTATGAAATAGTATAACCACTTTGGAAAATGGTTTGGCAGTTTCTCAACAATAGCATTCCTAAGTATCTCTACATGAGAAATGAAAACATATGTCCACATAAAGAAATATACATGAATGTTTATACATACAGCTTTATTCATAAGAACCCCAAACAGAAATCAACTTAGCATAGACAGGTAGATGGATGAGCCAATTACATTATGTCCACTGCCCAGCAATGAAAAGAACTGAAATACCAACAGCTACAACAACATGGCTGAAAACATTATACTGAGTGAAAGAAGTCAAACACAAAAGAAGAACATTTGACCCTTGAACAATACAGGTTTGAATTGCATAGGTCTACTTATGTGCAGATTTTCTTCCCTCTCTGCAATCCCTGAGGCAAGACCAACCCTTTGTCTTCCTCCTCCTGCACAGCCTATCAACGTGAAGATGACAAGGATGAAGAACTTTTGATTATCCACTTCCCCTTAATGAACAATAAATATATTTTCTCTTCCTTATGATTTTTTAAATAAGATTTTCTTTTCCATAGCTTACTTTATTGTAAGAATACAGTATACATATAATACATATAACATAATACATAATACATGTAACATACAAAATATGTGTTAATCGACTGTTTATGTTATCAGTAAGGCCTTCCAGTCAAGAGTAGGCTATCAGTAGTTAAGTTTTTGGCAAATCAAAAGTTATACACGGATTTTAAACTGCATGGGGGTGGGGGGTTCCCCTAATCCCCACATTTTTAAGAGTCAACTACATAGGCATTTTTGCCTACAATCCCAGCAGAGCCCCAAGTCAACAGCCAGCCTCAACTGATAACTCCACCTATCCTGAAGATCCAGCTCAGGCGAGCCTTTAGGTGACTATAGCACTGACATAAATCTGACTGCAAATGCATAAGAGATCCTTCACGAGAACCACCAGCGGGGCCCAGTCAACCCACAGAACTATAAAAGATAATAATTGATACGTACTTGTTTTAAGCTAATGTGTATTGGGGTAGTTTGTTGTGCAGCAATAGGTAACAAACATTGTTATACTAAGTCAAGTCTAGGAACTGTCACACGATAAATCCAGACTTCTGAGGCAAGCCCAGGCTTGGACCTTCCATGTGTATCGCTGGGTTAGACCCTACCCATCTAGAACAGTCACTGTTGTTCTAGAAGTAGCCAGAGGTAATAAAGAATACTCCAGTGGAGTCAGTCACTGTGATTTCATAATCCATATGCATTCCAATCAGGCTCACTACTGTCCAAAATATGCCCCAAATGCTAAATCTTAACAGTGTGAAATCCTCACACAAAAAAATGGGAAATAACTTTTCTAGTTCTTAAAATTACATCAGGATTGCAAATAATTCTCAGTTTTCATGCTGTAAACAAATTGATGATTATAGTAACTCATTATTTTTATTTAATAACCTTTAAAAATGGTAAGTGAACTTAGATTAGACATAGCCAAGTTATCAATATATGGCAAATTACCAGTATATGGCAGTTTACTCACTAACAAATTTTGGCTTAGTAATAACAGTCCATATGTTATTATTCTGTTTGTGTCACCTGCTCCTGCTCTGAAGAGTGATAATTAAGAGTTGTTCACTGACATGTTTTTGACATGTGCCAGTTATATGTGATACTTCTTAGCCCAGAAAATTTTATTAAACTTAATATCAACCCACTACAAGCCCACACATCATATTTTTTATAATATTACCTTAATCCACAGCAGGTTCAAATTTTAAAGAATATGAATTCTTGATATATGCCAGGTACCCTGCTACACTCTGGGGATATATCTTCAACTGCTGTAAACTTCATTCAAAAAAGACTAGTGGTGGCTTTGCATCCTTAACCCATTAACATTACTGAGAACCACAATGTGACACAGAATGGTGTATTTACTTTATATCTAAAGGAACATTTCTGGAACATTAAGATTTCTAATTTTTTTCTTAATTCAGTAAGTGTTTTAAAGTTTATTTAAATATTTATCTATAAGACTATTACTCAACTAACATTGCAAACACTTGCACCGATGAAGTGTTTTAAGTGGAGAACATTCCAACCTTTAGTGGCTTAAGCCAATGCTTCAACAGTGTTGTGACCAATCAGTGATGCATGCCATGGGGCTAGTAGTGAGAAACACATTGGGCATTTGCCAACCTTGACCCATTTCACCAATTTCATGCAGTCTCCTGCCTTCAGATATCCTACTGGGTCCCTTTAAAGATTTCCATGATGGAAATTCCAGTCTTCTAATCAGCCTTAGGAAGTGACATTTCCCTTTCTTTAGCCATTCTTCCCCACTGCTGGACTCTACACTCCACAGATGTCCCTTGATAATCTCTACCCTGGTACAGATGCCCTGGCCCTAAAAGGCCAATTTCCCTAACATCAAGAGTTCACTGGATAAGCCACACTTTGAGCTTTGATGACCAAATTCTGATAGAATGTGGTGGAACCATGATTTGAATCCAGGCAATTGAAAGCCAGGGTCTCTGCACTTAGTTGCTAGGGTCTCTGCACTTAGTTGCTTCATGTGGCATGTAGTTGCTGCCATTTCTACAACAGGCGTTAAATTGTAACTACATATTTCAATTCATAATTATCTGAGTCTATTATTAATATAAATAAAATATAGTGAAAAATCTTATAATTTACTATTCCAGCACAGTAAATGTAACTTTTAAATAATACAAAATTTGTGCATTTTCTAGTTAAAAACATATTAATACATGCTTTATATTGACTAGAAAAAAATGGAGGTATCTCAATACCTTCCACAAAAGCAACAAAAAAAATGACCATACAATTCATAGTTTAGTGTCCCATATAGTCTTATATGGAAAGTTTAACAGTAAACTTTGAACATAATTTAATGCAGTGACTATTATTGTTTAAAAATACACATGATCAGTAACTTTTCCAGCTCAGAATCCATAACAATGAATCCTATTCACATCCTGTGTAACTCCATGGGGATTCTATGGGGAAAGTTCCCATATATGGTAATTTTCTGCATAGACTCCCCACAGTTTATACAGGATATGAATCTGGTCGATTGTGACAATGAAAACAACAAATCACTGAAAACTCTTATGTAATTTTTACTGAACAAACTAGACTAACAATTAGGGAGACATACTGAAGAGAAAATAAGAAATCTGAGAACTTAAAAATAACCACGGGTATTTTTATTCCATTTCTGTATAAGCGAAGTACATAAATATCCAGAAAAAACTCCTATCTGATTTAGTTGAAAATATTCTATTGATACTAAAAATTACAGTGTTAACTATTAACAGCCAAGAAACCCCAAAGGAAATTTCACATTAGAATGTATGTATGTTTCACATTAGAATGTATGTTCATATTAGAATCTATGTTGTCATGTTAGAATGAATGTATGGAAAGAAAGGATGATACAGTAAGATAAGTCAAAAACGTCACATGAGCTTTAGCTTTCCAAGCTCCTATATAACTGTGTCCCAATATAAGTCCCTGTAATGTATAATTATTTTTCCATATTTGTGATTTTAGTAGTCTATGGCACTCTACTTATATGAAGTCATATAATAACATTTTTCTTTTATGTTCAATGCTCTAAGTGCAGACTTAGAGATGTGTTTTTGTGTATACATTTAGATATTTCTATTTTTGCTTTAAGTAAGATGAAAGTATCTAAAATCCAATACAGCTAAATCTAACCAGATTACAGTTGAAGGAAAGGAAAATGGCTGATGTTCCTAAATTACCTAGTTTCCTATGACAAATACCAATGAAAGGGAAAACAAAATAAGAGTACTAAAATGCCAAACATACTAACAGCAAAAACAGCAATATCTGACACAATTATTTAATAACTAGGTGCTTATTTTGAGAATTGATCCAGTTGTGAATAGCCATTTTTGAATGATCATACTCACTATTCACATCTCAGCCAATTCACAGAAATTACACCAAAACAATAGCCCCAAGTTTAATCTCATATGTGACCAGCTGCCAAGAATGGCACATAAGAGTATGATACACATAAGACTCATGTGACTTATTATTTCTTCACATGTGACTCATTATTTCTTATCCAGGAGATGTCTGTTTAGTTACAGTATCTTGGTGACCTAATATTGCTAACGTATATTCATTTGACTCTTTCTCACATAATGGCTCCAAAAATTGAGATAATTACCTCGTTCTTGGTAACATGGTACCACACTATTAAAACTCAGAAGCAGTCAATTCCAACTTAATGCATTCATCAGTAATGAAAATAAAAGGCAACAGCTGAACTTTTGGTGCCCATCAAAGAGAAATTGCATGGGACATCATGTGTACTCCAAATCCTTTCCAGCAGCTGGCTGCCTAACCCAGGGTGATATGAACATCCAGAGAATGGCAGGGAAGATGTGTGAACCAGCCACGCCAGATCTAAAGAGAACTCCTGATCCCTTGCTACAGCCATCCACTATTTCCCCATTTCCACTAAGCTCAGGTAGGTGGATCTTACCTAAGCTTTGCTGGTACTTCAGTGATTTCTTTCTACCCTATGTAGATGCTCTAGAAGTACTGTTTAATTTGTTGTAACTCCAAGAAAATTATGGGAGGAGGGATTAAAATTGATGCTGCTTTGCCCCAGGGACACCCTATTTCTCAGCAGGTAAGGAGTTGCTCTCTTCACTGGATTAATAAGGCAGGTGCTTTGGAAGACATATTAAACGTTAGACCAGGGCACAATTCCCACCACAGTACATCTTAAATGGTACCCTTGAGAATTGAAAAAGTTAAACATGGGAGGGAGAAAAGAGAAGAACTGAGCCCAATAAATGATAATTGAATAAATATTCATCCTACTTAAAGTATCTACTCTTTGGAGAATAGCTGGCTTTATCAGGGAGGATGTAACCAAATGGTGGCAATGCAAAACCAGTATTCCTTACCCCAAAAAAACAAAAGATGAAATTTTTTTTCTCCCTTTCTCCATGAAAATATTTTCTCCTCTAAAAAATTTTAAGAGGAATTTTTTTTAATTCTGAGGAATTTAATCAATTTATTTTAAAATATAAACTATCATGAAATCAAATTAAGTATTCCAAATATGCATTTTTTTCAGACTATGTCTTCCAGGTTAAAGACTTGAATCACCAAATACGAATTTTAATAGTGACCTACCTCAACAAACCTTTATTGATAATACTTTCTTCTTATACCTAAATTATTCTAATGACAGAAACTAAAATTGTGTTTCTTCAAAACAGATAATGAATAGACATACTATTCTCATTTTTAGACATGGGAAATTTCAGTAAAGGAAAAAGCTCAGTGAAATACATCAAGATAGTAACAAGCAATTATAGAAGCTATACTTCCTGCTTTGTAATGATTAGTCTATACATAATACAGAACACTTCCATTTCAAAGTCAATCTATTCCAAAAATAGATTGACTATGGCCAATCTATACAACTGTGGGAGATTTTGCTACACTAAGTCAGAGAGATGAGACTGGTACTATTGGAGATATTGACTGAAATTATGTCTGACATTAAAAAAAGAGCATTTATTAATTCTATTGCCATAGCTGTGTAGGTCTTTAGTTTTGATGAACTAGGGCTACTCTTCTAGATACATTTTTGGGGGGATTTTAAAGCCTTTTTACATTTTTGATTGTTTGGAGGAGTAGTTAAATCAAGTATTAAAATAATATTATTTTAGTGAGACAGATTATGTTATAATGTGATACTCAGACTACTGTAAATTCCTGATCTCAAAGGTCTGAAACATGAAATCAACTTAATCAATCCAATATTTAAAAAATGAAGACATTTCCTTTTCTTACAGGCAAAGAGCAAGGAGGACAGCAAGAAAATTTAAAAGAGCCATTTATGATGAGAATATATAGCATCAGAAGTCAGAATAGTGGTTACCTTTTCACAAGAAGGGGAAGTAATATTTATTAACTGGGAAGGGCCACAAGAGAACTTCCGGGGGAAATGGAAATATTCTGCATTTTGATCTGGGTAGTGGCTCCATGGGCAAAAATTCACTGAGCTATATGCTTAGACCTATGCATTTTACTGTATGTAAACCATACCTCAATTTAAAAAGTAAATGCATCCAAATACAAGTAAGGCACTGCAACCAGAAATCAAGGAAAAGAATGATGAAAGCAAAATAAGTTAGAAAAAAAATTAACCCTTTCCAAGACCTACCACAGCACTGTACACAGGATAGATAAATATTTCTTATGGCAATTTAGTAAGAACACCCTAGGTGGCTTGGGATCCGTTCTGAACTGATTAGAATTTCAGCTCTGACTATTTTTCTGAATATTCTAAATACAGATAGTTTCAAGCCTATAAAATAGCCTCCAAAAGGTTGAAATCAAAGGCCTAGAGAGCTATGCCTCAAAACACAAAGAAAATACACTTGTCTTAACTCTGAATGCAGACTTAGGGAATCTTCTTATCTAAAAAAGGCAGTCCATTTCAACACATAATATCCATTGACAATAAGAATTTACCTATAGTAGATTGCTTGCTTCTAGTGATAAGCAAGAAACAAAACTTAATACTATGTAAAGGTTAAAAAAAAAAAAAGAAAGCTAAAAATCTGCATGAGAGTATTCTGTCCTCTGTCTGAATGGTATTCTGTTCCTCTCAGTAATCTGGTAGCTATGGAGACCAAAAGCAGCAAGCAGTTTTCAAACATATCACAAAGCACATAAGTAATATTATCAAAAGATCAGGTTTGATGATCAAGAAAGGCTGTGTGTCTAATTGGTAAAACTGGCCTGCCAATGTTAGTTAGAGTCACTAGTCCAAGAACCCAAAGACTCCCACACTGAGTTTCAACTTCCACTTTCAGCTAAACCAAGTAACAGGACTAATTTTTAGTATATAAATATTTCTCTCCATATCTAGGCCCTTACTTAAGCAAAATTTCATGACTGAAATGAAACTGAAAAGTCTGTGGCACTTAATAATCTATTTCTTGGATGATAATTATTCTAAATGTACCATTAGTAAATTCAAAAATTATTTTTAAATTATTAGGAAATAATATTGTCACATGCTGAATGAAACATTTTAAGTCACAGTTATTCTATCACAACTTTGATTAGGCAATGTGGTAGTTTCAGAGATGGGAAGCTTCCACAGTGAAACAACAAAAATAATTAACCTTTTAAAAAAGCCAATCAAGAAACAAAAGAACAGAGGATTATTAGCTCTCTTGAAATGCTACTATTCGGCAATAATTATCAGATATGCACAAACAGTCACACTGATCACCTGAGATCAGAAAGTAAAGGTCAAATTACAAGCTCATAAGGAATAGATTTCCTAAATTCCTGTCCTAACCCCCTTCTCCCCAGCAATAATTGCCTTGCCAATGTTTAATGTTCTAGGCCAGCAGGTTGAGTCTCTTAGAAATTCTTAATTGTCATCTTTGCTTGTAGATGATGACAAAATATTCTGCAGAACCTATACAGCTGCATTGACATGTTATATTATTATACACCCAACATTAAATAATTCTCAAATAGGGTGGTTATCAATTCTAGCTGTCTACAACTGCTGTTTTGTCTAACCCATTGTGCAGGGCCTATTCTGCACCAAAGCAATTTCACTGTATAAGTTTTAAGAAAGACACA